CAGTTAGCTTCTCCTAAGGTAAACTTAGCTTAGGAGAAGCTAACTTAGCTTCCTACGATAGTTTCAGAAATGCACCAGAATGTGTATTTATGTATTAAAGACAAACTATATACAGTAAGTGACAATAAAACTGAAAACACAGCAGGACATTTATTAGGTACATTATCTGCAATATTCATTCCAACTGGCACTTTGTCTTGAAAACGTCCGAGCGTATTACCATTATGCTACACCATTGTTTAAGTACAATACGGTGAAATAATAAATAACAGACATTTTCTCTTAGACGGGATAATGAAGGCGATTTTATTTATTACATTCTAGTTTTCATTCAGAATTAAAACACTTTTTCAAGAACTGTCTCCATCTTTATGCGCTGATCCCAAATTCCAAAACAGATTTCAGCACTACTGGCATTCCGTACGTACTACCTTAAAGACCTTATGGGATTGTATTCTCCTGTTTTACCAATTTTTGTTAAATGTTGAGTGTGTCAGCATTTCTACAGAGGATGATTGTTTTGGGTGATGCAGCTTACAGCAGAGCTGCGTTACTTTGGATAACGTGGCCACATGTTTAATGGCTCTGGAGGTCATGACCTCTGCTGGCTGCAGCTCTGCTGGAGGAACTGAGCAGCATCATGTTGAGCATGCAGCAGCGGCGATGCCAGGGTCGATGCTGGAGGCGCTCAGTGGGGTTACGCTGCGTCCTGCGCATTAATACTTGGAGCAACATTAGTATTTGAGGCTTGTTTTATGGACAGATTTACATTTTCTCCTCTGACCTCCGAATACGTCACTCAGAGAGGCTGAGGTTTAAGATGAGCTGCATGTTTTTACTTGATATATCAGGAAAACATGTAAAATCTGACGCTGTGTTGCTTTATGCAGGAGATCTGTGTCCGTTCGTAAAGTTACACTGTAAAAATTAACAAATAATTTGGATTATTTGACCAGTGGTTAAAAAAACAAACTGCTCTGCAAACCGCCTCTCTGGACTCGGAACCGGCTGACCGGACGTGTTTCTGTGCCAGAATCATTAGTAAAAGCAAAGCAGCTGCAGAAAGCGAAACCTGATCCAGCAGCAGGGAGGAGAGCAAAGGCTGTAATTACGCTGGAACCTCTGGTCTTTGAATGGGCCGTTCTGCAGGCTCGCCCCGCTCCCTGTAATGAGTGTTTCATCGATCGGACCGGCTGGTTCTGGGCCAGCAGAACGCCTCTGTGAGGCTTTTTACTTTCAGGTTTGTTCTGGATGTTCACAAATGTACAGAGAGCAAGTCGAGAGCCAGTTAGGAGGTTCAAACCTGCCGTTGACCCAGAAAGACCTGATTCATAAAACTGATCAGCAAAGACGGGAAAAAAGTCAAACACTGAAGATACAATCAGCTGCTGGGTCTATGCAGGTTACAAGGTCGGGTTCTGGTCGGCGTTTCCGTCACGGCATTAAAACAATTTACTATTCAATAGTTTAATGTGAGATGGAAGGAAAATAATCCAAGATTTTCAAAAACTTAAGTCTGGAAGGTGCCGAGGATATTTTTATTCATCTCTTTTCACGCTCCTCCTTTTCAGTTGACTCCGGTCCGCCTCTCCAGAGAGTCCGGTTCGGTTGGTGAGGTGTGAACGGCAACCGAACTACAAACCTCCGTCTGGGTTCGGTTGGAGCGAACTCTGGTTCGGTTTGAATGGGAACACTAAGCGCATCCAAGCAGGAAGTGGATTCCAGAGCAGGGAATTCTGGGTAAATGCATCCAAAACAAACACACTAGCTTAGCAGCAGCTAGCAGGAGAAACGGCTCGTGGTTGTTATGTTGGTAATTTAACATTATATTCCCATAAAACTCATTTTTTAGTCCCTCTGTCATGTTTTAAAAGTTAAAATCAGCTTAACAGCTTAGAGAAAACACTTTATTTTATAATAAGGTTTAACAAACGAGACAATAAATGCCTCAGATAAGAGCAGAAACAGTCGATAAAAATTCAAACTAAAAGCTTGTCTAATATAAAAACTTCTTCTGCATTTTGCAGAAATGAAAACCTCCAATAAAAATAAACAAAGTAAAGAATCTCATTCAGAAAACGCCTGAAAGGAGCAAAATGTCTCCAAATTGGGGTCATGTTGGGGTCGCGCCGGAAGCATAATGTGGAAACAAGTGAGGAAAAAAGCGAGATGCCTGAGCGAGGCTGATAAAATAACGAAGAGTTTTAAAAAACAAGTTCATGTTTTAAACTGCATATATTTTTACATTTCTACCTGAAATTACAGCTGAAGCGCATCAGGGATGGAGAAAACCTCCTGCATTTGGATCCATCCTGGTTCTGACCCGTTTTTCAGACACGAACCAGCAGAACCAGCTGAAACTGGATCTTCATCTTCATGAAAATGTTTAAAAAGTCCTTCTGGCAAAACGGAAAGAAAACTCACAATATAAATGTAATCTCTGAATGTTTGACAGTAAAAACCTCAATAAATCCCCCAACATTCAGCTCAAAGTGAAACAAATCAATAAAATCAATAAAATCAATGATTAAGTTTCAGATTCCGTCTTGAAATGTTTTAATTTGGCATTTAGTTTCCCCAACCCGTCTTTCAGAGACATTTTGCTTTTATTTGCTCTCAAAATATAAGTTTATTTACATCCCATCATGTAAATGTTAGTTTTACAAAATAAATAATTTACATTTTCCTTAATGCATTTAGATATTTATGTTTATTTTTTCTATGTTTCTTGTTTTTACAGAATATTATTACTAAGAAAACATAAAATTATCAGAATAAAGTCATAATATTACGAGAACATTACAGTTGTCATAGTATTGGTTATTTTTTAAATTGCAAAGTAAATTTGTTAATTTATTTTTAAAAATTAAGAGGAAACTAACTGCAGGAAATGTTTGTTAGCTCTGCGATTAGCGTGTTAGCCTAGCATTGTTGAAGGATTTACATAAATCAGGCTGAATAAAATCCTGACGTACTTTATGGGACTCCAAATGAGAAACGATGATCAGTACAAACATAAAATAAAATCAGGCTTTGAATTGTGTTGGAGAAACTTTTTATTTTGCTGGTCCACAAAAATAAAAACAAAGTAATTATTGGAATAAATAGAAAACAGGAATGAAAGGAGGCCTTTCGTTCCCCAGATAATAATCAGACCAGCCAAAGTCTGTAAAGACGTCAATTTACTTTATAACGTACATAACAAAGTATCAAAGACAGCATTTAACCAATTAACAGAGAAAAACAGAGAATATGTAACATGACTGTTTAAACTGCACAGACTGACAGACGGGACACAGAAAGTGAAATTAGTGTTGATTCATCATAAATGATTAGTTTGCATTTATTTAAACAACTATGCAGGTCGGCACATGACAGCAGGTACAGTTAGAGCACAAAAAACACGAAACGTTTCAGGACGTTTTCCGCCTCTGACGGCTGCAGTGCACAGTGCTGCGGTGCAGAAACCCAGAGGAAAGGCACTTAGACACAAAAACTCCCAGATTACGACCCCAGAAACACTAAAACCACCTGGCAAAAACATCAGAAACGACGATGAGCTGGAATTTATGTTTGAGTTTATTCATCAAGTCATCAACCAGCTTTGATTTTCTCCGTTTTTATTTTTACTCAACGTTTCCAACTTAACTTCCAGTTTCAACAATATTGAAATATTTCAGTAATATAACCAAACAATTCAGGCTAAAGAGAAAATGACATGGAGGTCTAACAGTTTGGAAGAAGGAAACCATTTTTCAAGAAAAGCCACGAAAGTCGGAGCAAAATCTGAGACAAAAATCTGAATTTAAATAAATTCTTTGGACAGACTTGAGATAAAAATCTGTTTGCCACCAATCAAAGAAAACTTTCCAGGAAAATCATTAACATTAGTTTTGCATTAGCAACTAATGTGCGCTAAAGCACATGGTTTTTAGCTAATGCTAAAACGCTAACTTCTATTCAAATTATATCCCAGTGGTGGATATAATATAAATGGATTACATAACTCTAACTCTGAAGCACTAATGAAAAACATGGGTTCTGCTAGCATTAAAGCGCTAAGCAACATGGTGTTTAGCAGAAGCTAATGCTAAAGAACTAGCTTCATTCCAGATTAGCTGCCCCTCCGGTGGGGAGAGGCAGCAGCTAACTAAAAAGTTAGTTGCTCTGATCATGAACCAGTGATCAAAAACATTTGACCTGCTAACGCTACAGAGCTAAACCTTTAGCATTAGTATACTAAATAGTAGCACTAGCTACTAATGCTACAACGCTAACATCATTTCAAATTAGATCTTCCCTTTACGGACTACAAGCCTGGAGCAAAAATTTAATTTTGACATAATTTGCGTGTTTTCTGACGCCCCTAAGTATCGTATTTTGTTCTCTGCCGTCTGTGGTTTGATTTATTGCTGAATTTGATTTATTATAGTTTTAATATTGTTTCCATTTTATCTTTTTTTATTTTACTTCTAATTTACTTCTAATTTTACTTCAAAAAAGTCGATGCCCCCCCGTCACACGCGTCGTTTCAACCAGACAGTCATTTGTAATCCATAGGGGGAGGAGGGGCCGCAGAAAATGTTTGGAAACCACTGGGGGGGCGCAGAAGAAAAAGTTTGGGAACCACTGCTGTAGCTAATCGTGGAAGCTAATCCCGCTAAACGTTTTCAATGTTAAGAAAAAAAAAAAATTAGCTCTGCTACTGGCGCATTAGCACTGAGTGTAGCAGATGGCTTTTTTCCAACTAATTCACATTTTCATTTGCATATTTTGTTTAATCAATAAATCAGAGATAATTTGTGGTAAGTTGAAATAACATCCCTTCTCTTCTGGGCATAAATAATCATAATTAGTCATCAATATCTAAACATTTCTTTATAAAACCAGCTTTACTTGATGTCAAGTTAAATTTCGTGATTGCTGTGGAACGTAGCACAAATTAAAGAATATGAATGTTTGTGTGCCCAATCCGTCAGATTGTTTTTTTCTATACGTCGATTGTGGAGGAAAAATTATAGCAAATATTTCTAAGTTACGTCACAAAATCAGTGACTTTGATTGAGAAACAAATTTAAATCCTTCAGGGACTGTTAATTATTTATTCAAGACATTTATTTGTTTCCATATTTCCTGGTAATTTTGGCAGGATGAGTCCTCCATAGAATGACCGTTGAAGCATTTCTGGACTCAACATGAACATTTTAAGTTCTGCAGCCAAACGAGCAGCAGGTGAAGCAACCAGAATGACTTTTTTTAGATTTCCAGCTTTTCTTCTGGCATTTTCCTAAATCAATTTTTTTTACAATGTGATAAAATTAACGGTTCAGATCCAAACATCTGCTCATCTCTGCAGCTACAACAGATAAATCCTTCCTTTGCATAGACTCCAAATCATATTTATATTTAAATAAATATATTTCCACTTTATGGAAGTAAAACAGCAGCTAAAACCACATTAATCTTGCAAGGACACAGAATATTGGCAGTAAAAAATAAGAAATGGAGTCTTAGGCGGATAAAGTGGCCAGAGTGGCAGCTGTAAAAGAATCATCATGTCCTCCTGTTGTCCAGGTCAGCAGCTGTTTGCTTGTAATTTATGCACTAAGTCCAACATATTTGATATGCAGGAATTAAGCAGGTTCATACATTGGGAAACGTCCAAGGCTGTGGAGAGCGTTTGTATATATTACCACACATTAAAGCATTAAAACGTCAAATCCCAGCCTGGCAAAGACGTTTCTGAGACGTTTAGGATTTACTCTAAACCCAACGATGAAAAATCTCAATGATTTCAAAACGCATTAAAAAGAATAAAAAATCTGGAAACTTTAGCTTTTGTAAATGATCCGTTGGCTCCAGCGGGACACGAGGAGCTTCGTTTCTAAGAGCTCTCCGCTTTATTTCAAGCTTTGCTGTTTTATGCTAGCGTCTGGAGCGGCTCCATAAATTAGCGCGTAGCTCGTAAAATCGTCTTCACCTTGACTTTGGGACATCTGCGGCATAAATCAGCCGCAGCAAAGCGACCGGAGACTCCGGCCTTCCCCTCCACTTCCACGATTCAATCACATCACAGCATCAACAGAAATGTGTTCAGTAAAAATGCATCCCAACTAATGGGAAGGTTTATTTTGTGCTTTTCTTCTCCAGCTGTTATGACGCAGACATTTTGGTTGAACTTGGTTTAGAAATCAGAGATTATTCGTCATATTTCAGAATAAGAGCTGATAAACATTGAAAATGTTGGTTTTTGAAGCATTAGCATCTTTCTGAGTTAGCTAAAACACAACAATCTGTTTCATTCACAATAAATTCCCCAAATCATTTGCTGTAATGTCTGAGCTTCTTTCAGGAACCGTCAGCATTTATTTCGGCTCTTACATTTTCATTGAGGTCGTCATCAGATTATTTAATCTTCCTGACATGTTGCTCCTCATCAGCACTCGCCTGCAAAACGTTTCTCACTTAAAAGCAACAATAAAGTGCAATGAAGTGTCGTTTGCAAACACATCACTCAAAATTGACTCGATATGTAAAGAAACATCAACTTTTAATATGTTCGGTAATTATTACCCTTTAGCATAAATGCTGCCTCATACCTTCTGATCTTAGTTAGCCATGCTGTGCTAGCTTGATGAGCTAACAGCTTGATAAATTAGACTGGCAGCCAATCTGAACTTTTACATAATAGTTGCAAAGTGGATTAGATAAATTGTTCAGATTAAGGAATGTATTGGATTAAAGCACTGCTTCATGCAGCTTGAGCCCCTGGCAGATAAAGTGTTGATCTGAGTTGCATCCCATAATAACAGTAAAGCTGCTCCACGCCTGCTGGGAAGTTGCAGCTGCAGCAGAGTTTGATTCTGAGCTCATCCCTGCTTCTGCTTTCGCCGTCACACTGAGAAATGACACCTGGAGCTTTTGTTCCTGGAGTCGACAGCCAGACCATCAGGTGGACTGGAGGTTGTTTTCTAAAAAGTTTTATGTTCTTTAATAAAATACTTTTTTTCCTAACTTGTGCCATCTGCATATTTTCCTTGAGCTAATGTTTCAGTGCTGTAGGGTATCCAACATATTACCTGGCAGTGCTCACTGCTCAAAATGGCTGAATTTACAGGTAGCATTAGCTTCCACCAAGTACTGAGCTGGTTCAGCTCTTACAGGTTAGAAAGACGACCTCTTCAGAGGTTTTAGGGTCGTTTCCTTCAGTGGTTCTTGGTGCAGCGCCCCCACAGGCCAGGAGGGGAACATGTTGGTTTGACTCGGAACCACAGCAGCTGGAGGAGGAGCAGATGTTCTGGTTCCTAACAGAGTCTACTGGACCTCCAGGTGACAACAGTTTGATATCAACTGATTTGTTTTAAAAACCTCACACCCTGCAGCTACTCGGGGAAAAGTCCTCAACTCACAGGTTGAGATCGATTCTGGATTTTCCCTCCACCAAGAATCAAAGTGGATTATTAATGTGACCCAAGTAAAATACTCTGTGGGTTTGAATGTTGTGTTTGCAAACAGAGATTATGAGCCTTTATCATGACTGGTGGAAAATGTCAGGAGACTCAACCAACCCGAAAAGGTTCGTGGTGACCCCACCAGGACTGTTTTCCCAGAACTCTGCGTCCATCGCGGCGTATCTAGACGCTTCCTTCAGCTGTCGTCTCCTGTTAAAGAACCGTGCTGATGGTGTCAAAGTCCTTGCTGATCTGAGAGTTGCTGGGCAGTGACTTGAGGTACTCCAGGTGCCTCCTGGCGTCCTCCTGATTGTGTCTGACGTAGTAGATCACGTATACGATCACCATGGTGAACCAGCCGAACATGGTGACGAACATGGCCACGTCGGTCGTCTTGTGGTGGAAGTTGCAGAAGTTGATCCCTGAGTCCAGCACCTGGATGACGGGCTTGCCGGCGTACTCCTCCTGCACCGCCGTGTGGCAGATCACCTCGTTGACCGTCTCCGGGTCCAGCCGCAGCTCCCGCAGCACCTCCTGCAGCGTGCACTCGCAGTGCCACGGGTTGTTGGAGAGGCTGATTTTGGCCCGCAGCCGGGCGAACGCCTCCTTGGGGACGCTCTGGATGTGATTGTTGGATAGGTCCAGCACCAGCAGGCTGTCGGAGACGCCCAGGAAGGCGCCCATGTCCACCGTCTCGATGTCGTTGTTGGACAGGTCCAGCTCCTGCAGGTAGTGCAGCTCTCTGAAGGCGTGGTTGGGGATGTGGGTGATGTGGTTGGCCGCCAGAAGCAGGACGACTGTGTCTCTGGGGAGGTCTGGGGGGATCCTCTCCAGGTTGCGGGACATGCATTGGACCACCGTCAAGCCGTTCTTGTCCATGCAGTGGCAGCTGGAGGGACACGCCGCCACGGACGCGTTATGTAGGAGAATCGCGCCCCACAGCAGGGCGAAGCCAAGCATCCGAGGCCTCGCAGCGTCCTGCATACTCAGCAGGGACTTCCACAACGTCCTGTCAGGCAGAAGGCTTCATCATCCGGCCCGATGGTCTCCCTCATCAGATAAAATCAGCAGCTCATTTGTGGAACTGTGGACTCTTATCTTGAGATAATCCATTAAAATTGATTCCAACAGTCTCTTGATGCATGTTTCAACCAGAACATATTCCAGTGGGAAGCTGTAATCTCCAGATTAACACCAGGAAAAACGCCGGACTCCAAACATCGTGTCGTGTTCTGGAAAGAAAACAAAACAGTTATTATTTAAATCCAGACTCAACTCCTGTGTTGTTTTTTTTTCAATCTGCAGAGTTAATAGCATCCCACAGTGCTTGCAGAATGCATAATGTGATTAAGGAGAATGAATCCATTCGTCCAAATCTCATAAAGCAGCAGGCGGACTTACATGCAGGTCATCACCTGCGTTCTCTCATTCAATTAGGCCGGGCGTAATGCCTCGCCTGAGTCCTAATTACGTGATTTCACAGCTGGACCGAACGGAGCGAGCGCCTCCTCTCCCTGCAGCGCTCCCGTCTCTCCAGGACCGCCGCCTCCCAGATAAGAATAGCCAGAGACTAAATTTACTCGCTCTGTCCTGCAGGAGCGGCTCTCACAATGAACCCTGGCTGAGTCTGAGGTCATCCGCCGAGGATCTCCTCATCCAAACGGCTCCTACTGTAAGGTTTCTAACAGGAGCGGGGCGTCCTGCAGCTCCTATTCTGACTCTGCAGGAGGTAAAACACTAAAATCTCACCACTTTGACTTTAACTTCATTCAGTTGTAAGACTCGGGAATCATTTGTAGGAAGCAAAACGTTTCTGAAATGATTGAAAATCGTCTAAAGTTGCTCACCGTAACGAGTTGAAGCTTCTTCCTCCTCTTGACGGGAATGTTTGGAGTTCCTCTGGTTTTCCAGCTCCGGTGGGACGAGGCAGGATGAGTTTCGCCGTTTGTTTGGAGAGGAAATCCACTTCTTAAGCTCCGTTTGTCTCGTCTGCACTTGTTGAAAGCTGGAGCAGGTGGACGCGGGGCTTCGTCTCCCTGAGCCGAGCGCAGACTGGGCTGCCGTCCTCCTCCTCCCTCTGCCTGCTGCACCTCCCTCTCTGTCTCCTCCTCCTCCTCCTCCAATCATCCCCACTCAGAGGAACCCGGAGCGCCGGGACCGCCGAGCCGCTTCTGTGGCGCCAACTTCTTTAAACTGATGGTTCAATTTGAAAGATTAGGTCTGCGCTGAGTTATTGATTATTCCAGCTGCTGTGAGAGGATCAAGATGTCAGCCTTCATATTAGCAGCTGATTTCTTTTGAACAGTTTCACATGAAAACTGAAATCAGCTCGTCACCATGCAGGACCTGTCCAGTCTGGATGTAATTTACTCAACATGCAAACTAGAGATGGGGATGGATGTGATTTGCAAGAGGCTGCCACATGCAGGCTGGCCACTAGAGGGCAGCAGTGATGGGAATAACAGATTAGAAACCTGTGAAACTAGATCTGAAATAAAATAATTGAATTTCCAGGTTTGTTTCTGCCGTAACCAGAGTTTCTCCAACAAAGACCCGGATTCTGAACATGTTGAGTGAATTCCCACCTTTTATAATGCAACTCCAGTCCGTTTGTCTAGAAAGTCCGGTTCGTTTGAGGAAGTGTGAACGCTAATCAAACTGGTCCGCCTACCAACCTCGGCTGAGTTCGGTTAAAGTGAACTCTGGTGCAGAACACCAAGAGGACCACAGACCGCTCCAAAAGCAGACAGTGGGCATTCTGGGTAAACGCAACCAAAGCAAACGCACTAGCTTAGCACTAGCAGGAGAAATGACTGTTTACCGCAGCATTGTTTTCATCTTTAAGCCGTTATGAGGCGCAGTGGGGGAACTTGAAGCTTCAGTAGTTCCTCAGCAGGCCGTTGCTTTGCATTGTGAATATTGATTTATTGCTCTGCAGGAAGAAAGTATTTTTTTTAAAAGAATTAGTGTCTTACTTAAAAAGTAAGACACTAATTCAGGTCATGTTTAGATATTCATGATTATCGTTATTTTGATTTATGTCCAGAAAATAAGGAAAATTTTAGCTCAACACAAATTAACTTCTGTTGCTCTCTGAAAGTAACTTTCTCTTTTTAATTCTGCGGTTTGTGGTTTTACTCGTATCCTTTGGGCTTTGGTGAAAACGATCCGCTAATATCAAGGCTAATTTTTTATTTAGCATCGTTATAGTAAAGCATTTAGCGCATTTAGCGACTCCTTTAGTTCACAATGCTCTGCTTTGTGAACTTTCAGTTGACAGTCGTTTATATTCATGCTCTTATTTTGAAGTTTGTTCTCCAAAGCTCAGCGCAGGACTTTGGTTTAGCCACATTTAAATCTGGCTGCCATGTCGGCTTTGTCTGTTTTCAGACCAGCTTTCTGCTGCGCAGCTCGTTTTTGCATCTGAGCATCAGAAACAAAACGCAGCCGATCTGTTGGATTGAAAAGGTTTCAGCAGAAAGTCTTTCAGATGCCCTTCCAGACGACAGAGGAGCAGAACGAGCTCTTCCATTTGCAATCCCCTCATGTAAATCCAATGTAGGTCAGCGGTTCCCAGCGTTCCAGGTGTCGCTTCAGCTGCAGGGCTCTGGTCCAGCCCGCCTCAGAGGTTCTGGTGGTCCGGCCCACATGATGGATTGTTCTCAACTCCCCAGACTTAATTTGGGGAAATTATGCAACACATTTCAGGTTGTGGGAGCTGCAGGCTGCTGGAGCATCACAGTTTCATAGATGGTTTTATGTATTTTTATTATTGTTAAAAACTCAGAGTTTATTACCAGATGCAGAAATTATTCAGTCTCACCGTCTAAACGCTGCAGATGGATCTGTCTATTACTGGATTATATCCGGTTCATCTGCTTTTTGCTGTTTCTCTGGAATCGCTAAAGTTAAATGTTGTTTTTGGAGTAAATTTCAGTAAATATCTGTGTTCAAATAAGCAGGTTCATAACTGGAGCGAAACCCAACATGGAGGAACCCAACATGGAGAAAGAAACCCAACATGGAGAAAGAAACCCAACATGGAGAAAGAAACCCAACATGGCGGAACCCAACATGGAGGAACCCAACATGGAGGAACCCAATATGGCAGAACGCAACATGGAGAAAGAAACCCAACATGGAAAAAGAAACCCAACATGGTGGATGGATGTTGAGTTGCTGCACTGCCCCCTAGTGGATGACAGGAATCAAAACAGAACCAGATTTACTGAACTTCAAGCTGGAATTATAGTAAATTGTGACATAAAAGAGTAAATTTTCACCGATAAATATTGATGTATTATCCCAATTGTCTGACCACGTAAATAGTCCAGATGAGCTGAGGTCTTTATGGAGGTATATTGCTGCCAAATTCCTGTCTGATGGTGACGAAGAGCAGCGGACCGCATCACCTCGCTGTAATCTGATGGAAGATGGCATCACCTCTCCCAGTTTGCATCTTCCAGTCGTCGTCGTGTCGCTGGAATGAGAACGCTAATGTTCAGATAAGAAGGTGTGGATGTTTGTTTATCAGCTGCACACAGTCGAGGGGAAGAAGCGCCGCTCGCCATGCAGTGAGCAGAATGGATTTCCCGGCGTGGATAATGAAGCTCCCCTCATTCTGCGTGAAGTCCAAGCGCCGTACAGCAGCGGGTTTAAAGGCGGGAAGCGCCTCGTTCTCCAGCGGAGGAGAAAGCAGGCAGAGAGAAACTGTGGGCAGGCGTTTCTAAAGCAGCTAACGAGGCCAAATCCCATTACTGCACATTTACACTCCTGTTGTAGAAAAAGTACAAACTAGGAACTAAAGGGAGGAAAATGTTGAGGCTTTGAGTTTCACTGTAGTTTTATTTCATCGTGACTTTGTCTGTTTATACCAAGTTAAAAAGCATTAAGTGTTTTCCAGGCCCAGTGCTGTTTATAACGGTAAACTGTTACCTTTAGATGCTGAGTATCAAATTTGACTTTGTAATTTAACCTCTTGAAATTGGGTCTCTGTCTCTTTAAGAAGCTTCTGCTCTTTCTGAATGATTTAGTTTGTTTTCCCCATTAATTACTGTTTTCATTTCAGTTAAAATGTTTTCTCAATTTCAGTTTTTATTATTTCGTTAGTTTTATTTAACTTCCCCACCATCTACTTTTATTCTGTGTTTTTGATCTTCCTGTGACCTGGATCAATGTTTCTCCAGGATTTCTCCAGGATTTCTCCAGGATTTCTCCAGGATGTCTTAATGTTTTAATGCATCCAGTTATGACAGACATATTTCAGCACCAAGCTCTGCTGTGTGAACCTCAGCTTTGTGTCTGGATGCATTTAGTGAATCTGATTCCTGAATCCATTTCAGAAAATGAAACTAACATTTTTACATTTTTACCAAAAACTTTTTGGAGGGAGGAAAAGTCCAAGCGCTTCTTCTCCTCCTCTTTCTTCTTCTTCTTCTGCTGGTAATTAGCTGTCAGTGACATCCAGCTGCAGGGAGACCAAACCACAGGGGTGGAAAACCTTTGTCCAAATGAACCGCATCCCTCTTTTAGGAGCGTGTGTGTGTGTGTGTGTGTGTGTGTGTGTGTGTGTGTGTG